AAAAGATGTTGAACTTAATTCTAAAATTGCTTTGCTGTCAGTTTTTTGATAAGATAGAACTTGATTATTGCTCAAAGGAAGCAACAATCAATACAATTTTGGAAAGGAGGTTTATGATAAAAGTATTCTTGTATTTGTTTTGGAAATTTTAAAAACATTAAATTATTTTTTTTAAAAAAAGGAATGGCTTGTTCAGCCATTTTTCGCACATGGAATTCCACATTCAGTTAAGGAAATATTTTCCTCACTTTCCTCCTGACAAACCTGACTCAAGACATTTTGCTGCCTGAGGCAGAGCAGCAGATGATGTCACCAAGTGTTGTAAGGGAGTCCGGGCTGACATGCTGGAACTTTTAAATTAGTTATTTTTTTTAAAAAAAGGAATGGCTTGTTCAGCCATTTTTCGCACATGGAATTCCACATTCAGTTAAGGAAATATTTTCCTCACTTTCCTCCTGACAAACCTGACTCAAGACATTTTGCTGCCTGAGGCAGAGCAGCAGATGATGTCACCAAGTGTTGTAAGGGAGTCCGGGCTGACATGCTGGAACTTTTAAATTAGCCACGAACAATATTATTTGCCACTTCCCTGAAGTTTCCCAGTTCCCTCTGTGTTTAGTTTCACAGTAGTTGGAGTTGGGTGGGATTTTCCCCGGCAAGGACATCATGTTGTGAACGATCCCTGTTGTAATGCAAAGAATTTTGAGGTGGTTTCTTCTTGAATAGGCCATTAAAAGCCATTAACTCCTGGTGGAGGTAAAACCGGCTGGACCTGGTGTGCTGATATGGTTCAATGATGCTGGCAGGACTTTTGGACCTTTCTTGGGGGGGGGCTATGTCCGTTTCTGCGATGGAAACCAGATGACTGCTCCCAAAAATCAAAGACAAGTAAAGCCATTTTGGGCTATATCATGACCAGCACCTGCAACTCCAGATTTAGTCCTACACCATTCCCTTTTCAAGATGTATTTGTACCCAAAGCCAGTCAAGTTAAAAGCCAAAAATAAAAATAATACATCTTTTTAAAAAACAACCACAACACCGTTTTGGCACCAGTCTCATGCCTGGTACAGTATTTAAAATACAATACTGTAACCACAAAGGTAAATCATTAATCATTTCCAGCCGTTCTAATTTTGGATTAGAGCCAATTCTGCCTCATTCCTTTTTCCCCCCAAGGTGTTCTTTTTGAAATATTGCACCTCACTTGGATCAGAACACAAGCAACCTGCTTAATGTCAACTGAGTTTCCCCTGCGCCATCGCCATGGCAACGCTTGTCTTCCCTCTGACAATGCCTCCCTCAGAGGAGCACAAACTTGAATATTTGTTGGCAAACCACCGTTAGAATTTGAATCCACTCCTTCCTTTTGCATTCTTGTTTGCAGAGTTTAGAAATCTGGTCCCTGGAGACAGAGATGTTTAAAAACAAACAAACAAAACAAGTCGGCTCTCTATTTTGGAAGCTTTTGCTTCAGTCATGATGGCTTGGTGTCCTACAGAGACACCAGCCAAGCCTATTCAGTTCAACTTCAACCCTATTTTCAATTGAATTTAACAGTCTTTTAATTAAGGATTAAGGATTTAAGAGTAGTCCTAGAACGAGATGGAATTGTTAGCATGTATACATTACTGAAATAGCGACGTCTAAGTTGGCTTGGGCATGTTGTAAGAATGGCTGATGGTCGGATTCCAAAAGATCTCCTGTATGGAGAATTAGTGCAGGGAAATCTCCCCAGAGGGAGACCGCAGCTGTGATACAAGGAGATCTGCAAGCGGGATCTGAAGGCCTTAGGAATGGACCTCAACAGATGGGAAACACTGACATCTGAGTGTTCAGCCTGGAGGCAGGCATTCCATCATGGCCTCTCCCAATTTGAAGAGACCCTTGTCCAGCAGGCCGAGGCAAAGAGGCAGTCCTGAAGTCAGCAAAATCAGGGAGCTAGACGGGGTACAGCAAATAAACAATACCATCAAAATATAAAAATTAATATAAAACATACATTTAAAATGGTAGGCTGGGTCAAGTCGGCTAACTAAGCTTAGCTGAGTCTGCAGGTATAGTGTGTTGGAGTGCCTGACTAAATAGCCAAGTTTTTAGTGATTTTTAAAAAATCGCCAGCGATTGTTATTATTATTATTATTACTATTCCAGAATATTAGGCACAGTCAATCAATAGTATACTGTACAAACATTGACTGGTATTACATAACAGATGCACATTTTAAACAAAAACTTAAGTATATGTTAAATATTGACATAGTATATACTGTATGCTGTTCCTAATATTGCTGGTTTTTAAAGCTCTTCTAATGTTATTTCTGGAATCTGAAACTGCTTATAATACTGTGTGAAATGTCTTGATATTGTTCCCAAAGCCTCAATGACCATGGGGACCACCTTCTCTACCTGATGTTCCCATGGGTTTTTTGGAGGCTGACAAATTTTATTTTTGCCTAATGACCAGTGCACTGATTTTGCCACTCTATCATGTCTAATTTTGTAATCTGTGCAATCTTTGGAATTTTTTTATTAATTTCATCATCATCATAAATCATCATCATTTCTCATTTGCACCGATCTGAATAACACAATAACAGAGAATTCCAAACAGCTCAAAGCCGAGGGGATAGCCAAAGTGAAATGATATATTTTCAGTAAAGACCTAAAGCAAGCACTGAAGCCCAAATCGACGTACTGCAAAGGAGAGCTGTTTCTGCCACAGAGGAGCTTTTTCCCCATGTCACCGCTGAATGGAAACCTCTAGCCAGCAAAAGAGACAACAGGACTTTTCCTGAAAATTGTAATGAACTGGAGACCAGAGCAAAGGTCAAACTAAAAGCCGGTGTGGATTCACCACCCTACTGCTTTGGAGTCAGAAGCAGAAATTGTGTGACTCACAAGCCACATGGTCTATGTGGTTCCTGTCACCGATTACAAAATTGCAAACAAACAAACAAAAATCTGGTCTTAAAAGGAGCAGCGTCTCTCCAGAGAGCTTTAGGGGATGCCATTCTGCACTTATTCATGGAATTCATACCCACCAGAGTACCCCCTGCAACTTGAAACTCCTTTCCTAACCACAGAAGTGACCTGCTGGTCCCTTTTGCTTTCCAAATGATGGGTAGTGTAGTCCGCAGGGGTCTAGGAGGTCATGGAAATTGTAGCTGTTTGTTGCCCTCAGACTTCCCATGGCTGTCCAACCTCGGTGTAGGGGGAGATGTTCCAAGTCCTTAGCCGAAGTGTTTAATATCACCTCATGCCTGGTGAGAAGACCCTGTCCTTCAGCACATTGATGAACAGCAGGCCAATTTAGGGGGTGCCAGATGGACACTCAGTTTTGCCCTTAAATAGAGATAAAATGACCAGAGTGATCTGTTAACCGACGATAGGGTTGTTGCCCTCCAGGATCTGCCTCCCAAGGCACTTGCTTCACTCTAACAGTAGAGTCACTCATAATAAATGTGTTTATTTCTGGTATGCATTACTTTGTGTGTGGTCATTCGACTGTGAGGCCATTTCTGCTCAAATCTGTAGCATAAAAACTATCAGAACTAAAATCTCCTTTATGAATATTTATTTCTAACTGGGCTGGAAATTCTGGACAGGTGAAAAATGATGTATATAAAGATCTAGTCAACGTGTATCTAGGAGATACAGGGGAGGTCAATTTATAGCAGAATTCAGTTCAAAAAACCCGTATTTGTCTGGTATCCTGCTTTTAAAGTCTACAATCCAAAGCACGTTTTCCTAAAATTAAGCCCCCTAATAAAAATAAAACTTATTTCTGAGTAATAAACAAGACTGAACCTCAAGCTTTTTCATCTGCTGTCCTTTCTTGGCTATTTTATAGAAATTTTGGAATATATTTGTATGGCTAAGTCAAAAGTTGTTGGCATCATAATTTGGGGTGGAAGATAGACATATATAAGTACTAATAAATATAAATATATGTATTTCTTGTTACCTGACAAAGGTGGATGTGCTGGAGACAATGAGAACACTGGCCGGTGTTTTTATACTTCTCCAAATATGGGAATTCCATCTTGTGTTTGGGTTTAATTTGGGTTACTCAGGGTCTGCACTAATCAGCTTGTGACTAACAGACTGGTCATCATGATTGATGATAACAATCAGCAGTATATTATCAGCAGTATCGGCCAATATGCCTCTGAATACCAGGTGCTAGGGAGCCGCAGGCTGGATGGTGCTATCACACTCTCATCTTGTTAGCTAGCTTGTCATTAAGGTATCAGCACAGAAGCCTCGCCCTTGTTCTGCTCCAGACGGGCTCTTCTTATGCTCTTCCTGTTGAATGCATTCAGGGTGCACATATTTGATGGATTTTTTCCCATTCTGGTGGCCCATCCCGAAAACAAAACCACTTTAAGGGAACAATTCACTTTAGGCTACTTCGTGTCTTTATAAAATTTATTATTCAGTCTCATTCAACAGTTCCTCCAAAGTGCAGAATCAGGTATTTAAAAAACAGTCACAATATTTTTTCCTGCTCTGTAATAAACAGAGCATATAATACAATAAATAGTGGCATAAATAAATAAACTTTATAAATAAATATATATATAAAATAGCAAGACCTTTTCCTCATTGGAAACAATTTGTTTCAAGACAATCCAGATAACATTTCAACATAAAATATTCTATCTGCGGCTATAAATATCAAAGATGAGCATCTCAGGTGTGGTCTCTTTGAATGTCATCTTCGATACAAACGTCATCCAACAGAGAGAGTGAGCAAAACAATCTCTTAGTAAATTCAGTGCCATCCTCTCTCTCAAGTCAGCAGCAATTCACTGTAACATACATAATTAAATTGACATAGTCGAGTCACAGCGAATATACATAGTATATATGCAAATAATGTGGAAGAACCAGCATCGAAAGGAACATTAAAGTTCTTTCAAAGGCAGCTCCATACAATGAACCAAACTTCTTTTTTTCCCAAACGGAAAAAGGGAAGCCTCGGCCAAAATCACCTATGCGTTTCCAACCCCACATTTTATTGCGTGCACAGCACGTTACATTTTCACGCACATGTGATCTTAATCTGGAAAAAAAACTGTGCTTAGTCTTCTCAGAATTCCAGCCATATTCACTGTATAAATACAAATAAATAAATAAATAAATAAATAAGTAAAATAAATCAGTTAGATCAGGTAAACAGCCATTCATACCAGTAACAACAACATTAGAATTAACCCCCCATATCACCAATGCCTGCAATGTCAGTTCAAGGTTACGTTTCTCTTCTTTGATGTTGTGAGGAGGAATTTTCTATCTCAGGAGGGAGGGGCAAGAATATTTTCTTTTCGTTAGCTCTTTGTATAAGAAGGATGGGGGGGCGAGATGAAAATACAGTTTGTATTTCGAAGAGGGAGACCAATGTATAAGGGACAATTCATTGTAAACAAGAGGCAAGAGAGCATTCCGTTGGAAGGCTCCTACATTGCTATCACCCCGAAGTAGATCTGTCCCTGCCGAGTCAAGTCCAGATATTCAAGTGAATCTGTTTTGGACCACAGGCGGTCTCCTTTATGCAGCTTGAAGACGGCTCCTTGATAAATCGACTCAAACCAGAGTTTGGATTTCCCTTCGGCGTCTTTTCCGCCCTCGCAGGCGGTCTTAATGGATTTCAGTAATTCCACTTCTGACTGGAACTGGTCGGAGAGCCACGAGATGGTGTGGGTGAGGAGCACGGGCTTCGTGCAGCTTTCTTTGTGGAACACGACCTGAGAGTAGACAAAATAGAGTCCGCTGGAAGGGACCACGAGCGAGTTGTCACTGGTGTCCAGCCGCATGCCGTTCTCCAACACAGAAGGTGCCACGTTTGTGGTCCAGACCAATTCATCACGATGATTCAGGGAGGCTATAAAAACAGGATAAGAGGAAAGCCCATGAGATTCAAGGAAATAAACTGTGTTTATTTTCACAGGTGTCTCCCTTTCAGCTTTACAGCTTCCCCCTCACAACTTCTTACTGAAAGTCTCTGACTGCAAGGAGTCATTGTTTTAAAGATTCTTTTTCTCCTTATATATATTTTAAGGAGCTTCTGTGTCCTGTCCAAGAATAGCATTTGTGTTCTGGAGCAGTCCTAAAAGCAGCCCTCAAGCAATCTAGCAAATAATCTAGATGTGTCTTACATTAGAAACCCTACCGTCCCCAAGCCAGTACAATCATAGGCTGATGAGATTATAGGAACTGTATAGGATCCTCATGGCACAGTGGTTAAACTGCAGTATGGCTGTGAAGACTATGCTCATAACCTGAGGAGTTCAATCTTGATAGTCTCAAGTAGATGATTAGAGGACGCTGCATTATAAGCACCCTTCATTTTGTTATTTTTGACCTCAGGAGAAGCAGGGACACCAATGTGCACACATTTCTTTAAAGGACTTAGAAATTTCTCCTTACCGATGGCGTGGGCAGCCGGTTTCCCAGATCTCACAGCTTGTACACTCAATGTCTGCGGCAACGAGGATTCTATAAAGACCAAAAAGATAACAAGACTGTCAGGTCATAAATCGTCGCAACCCCATCCCCTCAAGGACTCCCGTATAAACCTGGATTATCTGTGACGCAGCAGTTACATCTATACTAGCCGACTCAAGGAGACCCATACAAAATTAAAACCCACTGAGTTTGCTCAGGTCTGGCCCATTTCCCCTGTTGCACTGGGGAAATGAAGATGAAAAACCTAGGAACCTGAGCTGTTGAGTTTAGGGAGAGGATGTATCTTTTAAGAGCTTCGTGGCACATTGGTTTAACAGCTGTACTGCAGCCAAAACTGTGCTCACGACCTGGGATTCAATCCCAGGTAGCCGGCTCAAGGTTGACTCAACTTTCCATCCTTCCGAGGTTGGAGAGTACCCAGCTCACTGGGGGGGGGGGGCAATGTGTAGCCTGCATAATTAACTTGTAAAGAGAATGCTTGAAGCACTATGGGGTGGCATATAAACAGCACGCTTTGCTTTAAAAAAAAATACAGTGGGGAAAACTTACCAGAAAATGAGTGTCCACTTTCTTTGGAGTTCTGAAAAAGCAATGTAGAAAAATAGTGTTAATATGGATCTTGCAGGATTTTTATTCTCATCATCATCATGATCATCATTTTTGCAGAAGGTCCAGCTATTATAAGTTGCAAATTTAAGGTGTAAAGTGAACAAATAGTATTATAGGGATATAATGGACACTGAGCCCTAATAAAGCCATTTAGAGACCAGAAAAAGTGAAGTAAGCACTTCTGCAGGACAAAAATATATATACAGTATCCAGTAGTACTGAAAACGAAACTTAAAGAGAAGCTGATAAATGAAACCTCCAATATTTGAAAGTCTACTTTTGCTGCCATGTATTACTTGATTTCAGCCATTTTCTTTTTGAAATTTCAGTTCCCTTTTAGGACTATTTCATTTGTAATGTGATCATCAAGATCTTTCTGTTTTATACACTGCGGAACACTTTTTGAAAAAGTTATTTTCAATTGCTGGAGTTTTAAACGAAAAATGTGAATCAACAGCTTCCCAAACTGTTTTTTTTAAAGAAACACATTCTAGTTCTTCTAATTAGCTAAAAGCCTCCAAAGTTGTCAATGGTGGGAGAGAAAAATTAAAATTAAACTAACATAAATATATTACTACTGTTCCTATCTGTATTACTTGATTTGTTTTCACTAAAGTTTGCTAGCTACTCTAGATCTACGTTAGTTGAAACTAACAGTTCGATGTAATCTTTAAATGACAAACGCCACCACTAAACTAAAGCCAATTAGGCTTTATCAATTTATTATATAAAACATATTTAGTTTACTTTCCCCCCATTGTTAGATTCTTGCTGTAACTGCCCCTCTCTCCATAAACTGTATGGGAGGGGGGGGGGAAATACAAGATCTATGTGCCTAAAGAAGTGGATTTTGATCCACAAAAGTTTCTGGATGAAGATCAATTTCTTTGCTCTAAAAAGCGACAGCATTTGCTTCCTTCCCTGCTTTCTACCCTTCAATTACACCACCAGCGCTTGGAAAAAGAATTTGAACTACAGCTTCCTAAATCCTCCAGGTGGCCCCTTGGCTAGGGCAGTGGTCCCCAACCTTGGGCCTCCAGATGTGCTTGGACTCCCAGAAGCCTTCACCACCACCTCTGCTAGCCAGGATTTCTGGGAGTTGAAGTCCAAGAACATCTGGAGGCCCATTGTTGGGGACCACTGGGCTGGGCGCAGTGGTTCTTAACCTTGGGTTGCTCAGGTGTTTTTGGACTGCAACTCCCAGAAGCCTTCACCACCAGCTGTGCTGGATGGGGTTTCTGGGAGTTGCAGTTCAAAAACACCTGAGTAATCCAAAGTTAAGAACCACTGGGCTAGGGGATTGGGGGGCATTGTGATCCCCAAAATTTAATTGGTCCAAACGCGGGTCTCCGCTTCAGAAGCAAACTCTTTCTCTCTCTTCCTCACCTGCATCCCAAATTGCTGGAAAACTCCGCTCTGCAGGAGGGCAAACACCACCGTGGCCCCGATCAAGAGCAGGAAGGAGCAGATGCTCAGGCACTTCCAGGGCCCCCCCTCTTTGCGCGCGGCCGACTCGCGCACCACCACGATGCTGCCGGGGGCGCCTTTCTCGAGGTCGTGCACCAAATGCTCGGAGCTCATCGCCGGAGCGGAGGACACGCTTTGCGGAGGAGAAAGAGAGGCGGAGGAAGAGGAGGGAGGCGATCGGGCCGAGAGGGCTCCGCCGGCAAAAATTCAAGTGGCGGGAGGTTCCAAATGCGCGCCCTCGATCTTCCCGGCAAGGAAATGGGCGCAAGAAAGCCTCCCAAGTTTCACGGGCGGCGTTCCGCTCTGGGTAAACTTCTTCGGGGCTGGCTGGCTGGCTCTCCTGCCTTTAGATGCCCTCCTCGTCGGGTCTCCGAGGTGAAGGCGGCTTTCTCGGGAGGAGGAGGAGCAGGAGGAGGCGACGGAGAGGCCCGGAGTGACTGCCTCAAGCTCGGCCGGCGCCTCTTTATAAGCGCCTCTTGAAAATTTCCCGCGACGCCCACGCCGGGTCGGAGGAGGAGGAAGAGAGGGGAAAAAGCGTGTAATAGAAAGCGGAAACCGTAACAGAAAGCGAGCTCGACGCCAGTGGAGGGAGGGATGGATCGGTCGAGTGGGGGGAGCCCCCCTCCCAGCACCTGGCCGGGGGGGGGGAGAAGTTTTGGGGTGGCGGCAGTCTCGGGGTGCCGGCGAGGCGCCTCACCTGTGGGGCAAGGGAGCGCAAGGGCTAGGAGTAGGTCGAGCCTTTTCCTAAACCGGGGTGGGCAACGAGCAGCTGTGGGGCTTTCTACGCCCGCCCACCACAAAAAAAGAAGCGATTTCCAACGTTTAGGAGCGCCAGGCAGGGCCACAGACCTTTTCAACAGGTCACAAGCCCTCCTTGGGACACTGAATAACGCCCCTGTTTCTTAAAACTGCTCCTTGCCGTTTGTCTTCCTCTCTCCCTCCATCCTTTCCTTTCTTCTTGGTGGTTTTTGGGCCCCAGAGGGACCCCAAAACACCCCAACCATAAAGCTGCGCACCCCATCATTTTTTTAAAGAAAAATCACATTTATTTGCCAACTAGGAAAAAATGGGGAGCTATAGAGTAGCAAGAAGGTCCCCTCTTTGTCTACTTTCAGGAGGTCGCTGAAGTTTTATTTATTTATTTATTTATTTATTTAATTTATACTCCGCCTATCTGGACTACCAGACCACTCTAGGCTTTGTACAGTAAATGCATTTATCAGCATCTTGGAACTGCAGAGCTAGAAGGAAATGCATGAACCCTCAAGGCCAACCCCTGTCAAGGAGGCATAGCGGGGAATTGAACTGCCAACCTCTGGCTCAGCAACTGGAAACCTAAACCACTGAGGTCTCCAGCCTTTTGCGTTTTTTCACCATTCTCTGCCATTATGAAACACTATGCTTTCTGGGTTTGATACGTTTATCCCTTTTTATAAAATCATGTTTAGTTATTGTGTGTTTGTTTTGCTTGCCTTTTTAGTTGGGGAACTACCCAGAATATTGCATTGCACTAATGGGACGATGGATGGATGGATGGATGGATGGATGGATGGATGGATGGATGGATGGATGGATGGATAGATAGATAGATAGATAGATAGATAGATAGATAGATAGATAGATAGATAGATAGATAGATAGAAATGAGCATGAGTCAGTGGCTAGAGCACCTCCTTTGCATGCTACTGTATCTCTTGACAAGGATACCCAAAAAAGACCCCCCCAATATAAAGAGGTTGAAGAACAAAGGAAGAGTAGAAAGCCAGCACTAGTATCCCACCTCTGGAGAAACCAGGTAGGCAGGTTGCTCATGCTGTTATCGACAACAGGAGCCATCTCCAGCAGAGTACTGGAGCTGTTTCTGTCTGGGTGTTCTGTGTCATCAAATCAGAACTGACTTATAGCGACCCCAATAGGGTTTTCATGGTTAGTGAGATATTTAAGGAGTGGTTTTATCAGTTCCATACCCCCATGGCCGAATGGGGATTCGAACCCTGTTCTTCAGAATTCTAGTTCCTTCACTTTATCCACTACTACTCCATACTCCTGGGAATCTGATTGTTTCTGCCTAGTTGGTGATGATTTGCTTTGAGTATTTGGTGATCATTTTCTCTCTCCCCACTTTATTCCTTCTGTGTCGCATCTTAAGTATAAATTGTGAGAATCAGGCTAGAGACCGGCATGTGTATTTTAGCCCTGTAAATCATTCTGAAATCGGTTTTGATACCACAGAGCTTAAATACTATATTCCTTGTTATATCATGTGCAGTCAAATTAGAAATGACTGGTAGCAACTTTAATAGGGCTTTCAAGGTAATTAAGGGTGAGTTCTGACAAGGAAATAGCTCCCATTTTGGCCCGCTTCTGGCATAGTCCGGTGCAAGCTATTTCACAGTAATCACACAACATATGGGCAGTAGTGCTCTAGCCTGACCCTGATCTGTGCCCAAGTTGGGACTTTTGGGGGCTACTGTTTTTTGGGTCCAAGCTAGGATGATTCCCAGATGAATCAAACGTTTCCTATAAGAGATCACTCCTAGCAAAGCAACCCTTTACGGTGTGTTGTTGTTGTTTAGTTGTTAAGTTGTGTCCAACTCTTTGTGACCCCATGGACCAGAGCATGCCAGGCTCTCCTGTCTCCACTGCCTCCCGGAGTTTAGTCAAATTCATGTTGGTAGCTTCAGTGATACTGTCCAACCATCTCGTCCTCTGTCCTCCCCTTCTCCTCTTGCTGGGTTCGAAACCCAGTGTGGTGTAACAGAGTGATGGACTAGGATGCGGGAGATCTTGGTTCAAATCCCCACTTGGCCATGCATACTCACTACAGATGGGGGTATCTGTATTTGTATACAAATACCCCCACACAGCTGGATGTAATGAGGGCACTCACCCGTCCACTGCTGGCACCAGCTCCGCTCTCCGATCCAATCGCTCTGGAGCTTGCAGTCGGCTAGCCACTCCTGGCAGAAGGAGGGAAGATGAGTCTCCCTGCCAGGCTGACGAGTGGCTAGCCAACTGTGAGCTCCGGAGCAATTGGAAGGGAGAGCAGAGGTGGTAGCACATGCTGTGCGGGGGTGTTCATATACGAATACCCCCACCTCTAACACACACCGATTTGTGTGTGTGGAACCAGTAAAGCCACTTCTTAAATATTTCAGGTGCCATTTTTAAAAAGGCAAAAATTGTGCTAATATAAAGCCACTTCTTAAATATTTCAGGAGACATTTTTAAAAAGGCAAAAATTGTGCTAATATACCACCCCATAATGCTTAAAGCAGCCTATCATTTAATTATGTAAGCTACACATTGCCCTCCTCCCCACCCCAGTCAGCTGGGTATTCAATTTACCGATCTTGGAAGGATGGAAGTCTGAGTCAACCCTGAGCTGTTTACCTGAACCTCTTGGGATCAAACTCAGGTTGTGAGCACAGCCTTTGACTGCAGAACTGCAGTTTACCCACTGTGTCATGAGGCTCCATCAGACCGCAAAAAGTAATTGCACCTCACTACACCGGCTTTAACTCCCACACTTTGTGTATCTTTGTGAACATTGAATCACAAGTGGGCCACTTATTTTTTTCATCAAAAAATAAAAATCTGTTCTGTGTGTGCTGGACACCACCATGTCTTTTTTTAGTAAGGAAGCTGGTTGTGTTGAGTTTTAGCTTCCGAGGGTGGTGATAATTTTCTCTTATTAACTATGTGGAGGCAATCTTTGGACTTTTTAGGCATATCCAATCTCTTACATTATCAACTTGTTTCATAGAAACTAAATAGTGGTTAACAGAAGTGGCTGCTCAGTGTGCATATGATAGATAAATGACTGGTTTTGCAACATCGGAAAGACAAATGGTCACCCCCTTCTTATTCAATGAATTTATCATCTCACTGATCTTTCAACATCTGAGCACACAGCGTATAAATGAGAACTCTATATGGCTATTTATCTAGGTATTTGGATTTCTATTAAAACTTACATACAGATTTTCTTGTGTTTCTATGGAATTGGGGTTTCTTTTGTTCTCATTTCTCTTCCTCGCGTTCCTTTTCCTGTTTTGATAAATCCACAAATAAAAAAAACATGATAATAAAAAATAAAACGGAGCAGCATAACAGTTTGTTCTGAAGCGTTTTTGCCTTGCTTTTCAACATGAAAGTGGAGGCTGCTCACAAAGAGTATTAAAGCTAAAGGAAGTGTGTGATCGCACAAGGAAACAAATCGCCATTTGGACCGCGTGTGGAGCCCACGTGACCCAAATTGCAATCTATATGCCAGGAATCACCCACAGGGAAATGCATTCCAGACTGACCATGATCTGGACCAAGCTTTTGGGTCCAGTTGTACTACTTTTATTTTGGGGGGCCAGGCTGGGGCTATTCCTCGGCAAATGGAAAGATCACTTTAAAGCAGTGGTCCCCAACCTTTAGCCTCCAGATATTCTTGGACTTCAACTCCCAGAAATCCTGGCCAGCGGAGGTGGTGGTGAAGGCTTCTGGGAGTTGTAGTCCAAGAACATCTGAAGGCCCAAGAGTGGGGACCACTGCTTTAAAGGAAATTGCTTCTATTGCTGCTGCAAAGGCTCATGCCTTGCTGTTGTGATCAGGCATGGAGCCTCTGCAGCCTTCTGATGGCATCCTAACTTACAAAGATACGATCTTGCTCTTCAGCAAGAAAAGTTGAATAGCTGACAAAGATGAATCATAAGATGGCCACTGCTTCCAGGTTTACAGTCCAAAAGGGGGTGCACAAAAATCAAAGGGATGGGAAGGGAGGAGATGGAAAAGCCAATCCAGGCACTAGGTCTTGCACAACTTTAATGCAGATGATGAAGAAATAGAAATAGTTAGATTGTGTATATCTTGGTTCAGCCCTCAACCCAAAGGGAGACTGCAACCAAAAACTCAGAAGAAGACTGAGACTAGGAAGGGCAGCCAAGAAGGAATTAGAAAAGGTGATCAAGTGTAAACATGTCACTGGGGATCAAGACCAAGTTCATTCATATGCTTGTGTTTCCTTCCATGATCTGAGCAGGGCTGTAGACAGAGAACAGGACATTTGGGAGATTGCTGATTCATAGGGTTGCCATAAATCAGAGGTGACTTGATGGCACACAACAATAACAGCAACAACAAGGTCTTAGTTGCAAAGCTCCTGTAGAAGTTCTTTGCAGGGAAGGGTGAAGTAAGTTCCCAGCAGCTGATCCAGCTGTAGATGATGGAGCAGGTGGTTCCATCTCCTCTTTGCCACATTGTTCTCTCTGGAGAAGGCAGTCTCCCTGTGTCCCTAGTGTCTCTGACTGATGGATAATGGTTACAGGACAATCTCTGAACATGAGAATTGACAAAACAAATATGCCTGCAAGTGGCATATCCTTTGGGATCCTTCATGATTTGGGTATGGGCAAGATGGACAGGAGATTAGAACTAGGCTCCCTCTGATCTCACTTGGCTCCAG